GGCTGGTTAAATGGAAGCGTTCTGAAGTTGAATGGATGGATTTTAGATTGAGGATGTTGGGTCTATTGACTGTAATATAGTGTAAATAATGTCTTTTGATCATGTAAAGTCATGAGCATTATTTGAATTTTTGATGTACTGAAAATATGTGAAAATGCTTCTGGTGGGAATCGAACTCACATCCTACACAAAATTACAAAACACAGATTATTGATTGACTTACCAAAGAAGCCCTTATTGTCGAACTGGCAGATTCACATTCATATGACTCTATGTTTTGCATCCTACTCTGTACCGAAAAGCTAGAGGTTCAAAAAAAAACTTATTAAACGAAGTTTTACCAGAAACAATATTCATTATTTTTATTAAGTGCCAAATTAGTTCCAAATTAAAATAAAAAAATATCACTAAAATTTGCATTATTTAAATATAAATTGTAGTCCTTAACAAGCTCCAATCTTAACACCGCACACAGCATGCGATCATTGCATCTTATAAATTTTAATAACTATTTGTGTTATATGTTTACGATCCCAATCAATTATGGCCGATAATGGAATATATCGCATGAAAATAAAATAAATTAAGTTTACCTTCCAGTTATTCTTAGAACTTACTAGCTTTTATTCAAGTTTATAGCACAATAAACCAGCAGCTGCTTTGTGTACCATGTCTTCAAGCCTTTTGCTCTGAATATCTTTAATCAAAGGTATTTAATAATTTTTTTTAATCCTTTGACTATTTGCCGTGTAGGCGTACTTAATTACACTGCCAAACATCACAACTATCTCCTTTTAAGTACCGATAGCATCTTAATTACCTCAAGTGCATTTTAAATTCATTATTTATATCTTGGCATCAATTTTATTGCCACTCATTTTGTTCTTTCTTATTTACCTCGAAAGACTATGCAGAATCATTAATATTGCTGCTATTATCATGCAAAGTGTGCATGTGTACTGACATTTATGTATTATAATTTCTATTCATGCGATCCCTTCTGCATACGAGCATGAAATGAGCATCTGAGGTAGATATTTAATGTTTGATGCGATGGAATGTAAGGTTAAGGAATTGAGGTTGGGTTTTAGGCGCATTTTGTTGGGTATGGTCATGTAATACTTGCATTTTTGGTTAAACTTAGCAATCTGAACCTAAATTGATGACTTTCGTTAAATTTAAAAAGGATTGAGGATCACCAGTGATATGATACGTATTAATTTTAGAGTAATTGAGAAACTAGATTCCAGATTAATTTTAACGGATATTTAAAATTCAAAATCTAACCTTGTTTTAGTTTTTTAAATTCAAGAAAGTCGTTAAATTAACAACTTAACAATATTGCCTGCAATTTACAGCTCACTACATTCGATTCTCACTTTAAATTCAATATCATTCATTAAATTGCAATCAGATACGGAGGTAGGAATCTAGTGTGCCGGTCAACAAGTTAGCTAACAGTCACGACATTAAAAATTAGAAGTAGAACAGCAAGCAACTCGCGCGTCAATAAATACCTCAATATGTTCTCTGTTATCGCACATTCATTCCTTTATTTCTCTGTTTCTTACATTGCAAAATTTACATCGACTGTCGCACAAAGAGAGTGGAAGATACAGGCAGAATTGCCATTTCTCTTACTTATGTCTGAAGATTTTTTTGCATGTTAAAGTCAACAAAGCGGTAAATTGAACACGCACTTGCATAAGATTCTTTTTATACCTTACAATGTCAAGGCCATTGATGATGATAAATAGGCATGGAATATGAATGGCTTTATAGTATTAAATATGTTCCATTGAAATTGCCTATTTGCGATGTAATTTTCTTTGTGGATTTTGTAAATTGATAAATTCATACATTTTTCTTTTTTCTATTTTGCAATTCTCGCCATTATCTATCTTATTTATTTCCATTCATCACTGACAAATTGATAACCGCAAACGAAGTAATAAGATGAAGGGAATTGTTGAGAGCTTCTTATAATAACTATGAGCGCTTTTTGTATTTTTTAATTTATAAATTTTCTCTCTAATTTCGAATGTGAAAAATTCTAATTTCGAAAGTAAAAAATTCTACTTTCGAAAGTGAAAAGTTCTGATTTCAAAGGTGTAAAATTCGAATTTAGAAAGTAAAATTTTGAAGTTCGAAAGTTAAAACTATGAATTGAAGAACATTTGGAAAATGACAAACCTCAACGCTAGACCAAGAAATTTCAACACCAACCTGACAAATTGCTTACAACAATTCCTAATAAAGGACAATAACTTACAAGCAGCATGCAAATTATTATTTTCTATAAAAATATCGCTAAAATATCATATTTATTTTCTACATTTTTATTCACATTTAAAAAAGTACATTTTTCAAGCTATTAAAAGTCGATTATGTTATATCTTTAGAATTGTAAAATGAGCATACATAATGATGGCATAGGCATATGTACATTAATACCAGATAGTGTAAGTTTGAGAATTTCCTCATCCTTCATTTATAATATTTTTTTTCTATTACTGTTATTGTTGCTGTTGATCATCAAATCGAGAGATTTAAAATTGAGTATGGATATGGAATGGAAGGGAAAAAAATTGCATAATTTATTTCCTTAGCAGGTTTTAACGGATTTCATCTCGAACGTATGAAAAATTACGCTATAGTAATTGTCTTTTGTGTTATCAAACAAATAATTTTTCGCTTTTATTTATTTATTTATTTTTTATACTTTTCAATAACAAATAAATTGCAAAATTGAGGAGAAACTAGAAATTGAAAGAATCTGAGTTATCTGCTAGCCAAGATTTTAAATGGATACAGTAAAACAAGTTCCAAATAATTTATATACCACATTCGTATCATGTGTTGTGTTTAAATATGTTTTCGTACACTGTGTCTGAGTCTTGACTGATTTCATGTGCATTTCCTGGATAAATAAATTGCTAGTTTGTTGTTATTCATTTTATATAATATTTGATTCTAAAGACCAACAGCTATGAAAATGACTAAAGTTACAGAGTTGAGTGGATGAGTGCTAGAAAGACATTTATGGAAGATCAGGACAAAGAGATTAAGTTACAATTTTAAATGAAGGTGAGCTGTAGCTAGATAGACTAGATAAAGATAGACCAGTGGTGCACAACCTTTTTTTGTGTAACGGCACACCTATATAGACGGTAAGCCATGATCAAAACCGCACGCAGCATACAGTTCGAGAGATATCCCAATCTCTTTCATGGTAAACTAGTGTGCCTCGGCACACGGGTTGGCCATCACTGAGATAGATAGATAGCAATATTTAGGGTAATTATAAAGAGATCCAACATAAAATTGGTGAGATTCAAACCCACATCGACCTCTAGTGAGGAGAATTCCTAAAAATAAAAGGAAGATTGGCTAGAATTTCTTTATTAATCAGCCTTTCAGATCTTAAACTGTAAACTGGCAAATTCTTCAACTTATGGTACGATACCCTAAACTTAGGGGTGTAGCTAGAGAGAGGGTTTACTCGTCAGCCTCTCTTTTGAATAATTTTTTTTTATTTCATTGAACTGTTCAAATATCTCAATAATTCAACTAATGATTCCAGGAATATTAACTACTACCAAGACTCCATTTAGTTCCAAAAACGATAAGATCATTAACTTCGAAAGTTTATCTCGCCCATTGACTACCTTCATAACCTTAAAATTATTCTAGAGGTGAAAGCTGATCAATTGACTTTTGACAATATTCGATCATCAGTTCCACACCCTTGAATTAAGGACACCAACCCTGTAAAATAAAACCTTCTCAAAAAGCAAAAGACCTAGTCGATACAGAGAATTAAGAATGCATACATGTAGATGGCTATCGGGGAAAGCTTTTCAAGGTACTTAGTACACACTTAGTCTGCAAAATGAAGAATCATGCATAATGTCAGTCAGTCTCTTTCACTCGTAATCTTTAATGATCGACCAGTTTTTCTGGATGTATACATATGAGCATTCACAACTTTTTATTTTATTTTAGAATGTATGCACATTCACTTCTCTTCAAATGTTCACTCATGCGCGTATAAATTGCAATAAATGTCTATTAAATTCTTGAATAAAACAAGCATCATAGGATTGAGAAAAAAGAGAAAGAGGAGTATGAGGAGGAGAACGATAGAAGTTAATGGACATATTCGAATCATATTTCATATTGTCTTTCTTTCTGTTTGAGAATCTTCTCAGTCTATCGTGTATGAATATTATGAAAAATTTATTTTCCATATCCTCTGGGAGATCATTGTTCCATTGCGTTTCTTTCTTGTTTTTTTTTGCATCTACAACTTATACCATTTATAAGAATTCAATAAATTCAATGAGAAGAATTTTTATATTAAAAAATAAATGATTTGTAAGCTATTCGAAGAAGTTAATTAAATTGAGTAAATTTATTAATGACGGAAGCAGTAATAATTGAGTGGGGATAATTTATTTAACTATGTTGATTATTTATGAATTGATTGTATGGTGAATAATAGAAATTTTATGATTGGAAAAGGGATTAAGTTTTGATTGTGTTCCTGTTAAGAATATGAAAAGTTAAATGGAACATTAACTGCAAAGAGTCAAAAGTTGAAGGTTAAAATCTTAAAAATGATGAAAAGACGAAAAGTTTCAATTGATAATTAAAGGTTCAAATCCTTCCGATTAAAAACAAATACCGACCTATTCCTCTTTTTGTTCAAATAATCAAATCAAAATCTAATTTTTACAAAAAACGATCACTTCTGCCCCGCTCTCATCCATCAATCAATGCCCTTCCTCTTTCATCTCCTCATGTCTCATTTCAATCTTACAAATATTGTCAATTCAATTAAATGGACATAGGACATGTCATTCAATTGCATCTGAAGTCTTTTCCTTTTCAAAAGCATTATTTCCATCTCTCTTTTCGTTTTTATCATCGCATAATGTCGAACATATAAAATAAATGTGCACAGCTATTAAAAAATTGCTCTATTTTTCTCATTTCAGAATAACTTGCGACTTACTATTTAGAAGCAAAAGACAACAAAACCCGCTAGACTTTCATATGTCGGGCTAACATGTAACTGCCTGGGATATGCAATAAACAGTGCATCGATGGACATTGATGAGTGAGATATAGTAAGTATGGAATGAATAGAGCTTGAAAATGAGGAATTGTGAAGTTGAGGTAGTCATCAACGCTTTAATTGAGAAACAAAAAAAAAGTCAAAGAGATAAGAATTGAATCTTAAGGTTTTTTCATTATAGGATTCGAACCTCAAATTTTATTTTATTTAAGAGGATTAAATTTTGTGATAATTTATAATTTTTATGATATTTTGCTAAATTCTGATCACTTTATTGGAAAAATTGGGAAGAGGGTTTGCTTAAATCATTGATCAATGACCACTTTACATTTAAAATAATTTTTTCATCATCCAGACAAACTGCACCTCAATCTTCCATAAAAACGCACACAAAACACAGAAAAACAAAAGCCAAATACATGATACTGAATAGACACTGAGACGTTGAATGTTCTAGATATGGAAAATTCCCTTCCCTGTTGTTCCCGTTCTCTCCATTTCGCTCTCTAACAAGCCTTATGTCTTTTCAAAAGAGCAAAAAAAAAAGAATAGTTTAAGAATAGAAAATGTACATGATTAAAACATAAAGTGATTCAGTTATTCGAACTAAATCGATTTAAAAAAAATTGTTTTATTGCCATCGACTCTCATTTATTGTCCAAACGGGATGATTATTTTCAATTGTCTTGTTATTAAATGTATCAAGTGTTAGGTGGCTTTTAAGTATCGAGCAACAATGCAACAATGACAATAAAATGAACGCAATTTTTTATGTTTTAATTCCGCTGCTGTAAATAAATCTCATTAAATGCTGATGCCAATTAAGTTGCAAAAAAATGTTTCAGCTATGAAGAAGAGAAGAAAAAAAAACATTTTTATTGGAATTAAATAATGTGGTGTGTATCGTCTAGGCATTAAAATACTAGTGGGAAAATTTATCGCGAGTTGTTGGAATTCTTTTGACAATTTTGATTGCTTGTGGCTAAATTAAGTGCTGTTGAATGGTTAAAGCTGAAGAATTATTGACTTGGCATTTAAAAGGCATTAAGTAAAATCCTTCAGTTCTCATCTTGGTCGAAGTCAGAAAATTTTCGAGGAAAGTTTGAATTTTTGACCTCTTGACAGCACCTCTGGTTCCCATCTGAAAAGTAGCCTCGATGATATTAATAAGGATCATTTGCAGTCACTTTATTAAAAGCTAAATACAGAACAATACAATAAGGAACTCATAATTCGAGAGATTTTAGAGGTTCAATTCCTAAATTTGCAATGAAATAAAAACATTCAAACTTAGTTTTTCTTGTAATCTAGAAAATTAATTGATATTTTAATCCACCCATGATATTCCACTAGATTTCATAATCCTCATTAATTTGTACGCAATTAATCACCTATGTACATGAATGTATACACTTATTAAAATAAGTCGTAGTAAAAATAAATAATGAAATCACTGTTATTAAGTTAAATCGAAGATTGCAAAAAAGGTAGCATAATAAAAATGTTTTTTCCTTACTCTCATTCGAATTGCCTCACGGTGACTATATCTCTTGTGCTTTATATAAATTTATGTATATGAGCATTTTTTTTATATTCTTCAATTATTTTCTACTTTTAGTTAATAAGTAATTCGCATGAATATCATATGTGAAGTGTTTTGCTGCTCACATAATGGCTACAATGTAATATTTATCTATCAAGTCCATTATGTGAGCATGTAATAATGTAGAGAAATGGAAACAATATCCATGTACTTATATTTTTAATTTCAAGATTCTTTTCCAATAGAAATGCCTTCTTTTGTGCTTCTTTATTGCCTCGCAAGCTTCTTTGAGGAGATCGAAAAAACTTGTTTCCTTTTTGTTCTCTCTTTCTTTAATAATCCCGCTACATGATCTGGTTCTCTAGATTTTTTTGTGCTAAAGCTTAATTTGAGACACAAGCTAGTCGATTAGGTTTAGCATTGCCGAGCGCTATTGTTGATATATTTCTACGAGATCAAAGTTTGTGTATCAAATGATCAATCGTTAATATCATCATGAAAGGATTTGAATCTTTGCCTCATATTAGTTTATATATTTTAATTTAAATGAATCAAACTTATTAATCTTAAACTTGACAATATTTAATCATGTCAAATCACCCACAGAACAATCCTACAAAGTATAAATTTCAACAAAATCATGTTAAAAAATGTTGTAAGAATCCTCAACGTCAGTTCATGTCCATCAACATCATTCGAAAGCAACAAAGACGCATGTTTTCTGCTTCGCTTGTATTATTAATGCCTATGATCATTTTTCAATTTTACTTTTATTATTTCACTCGTCAACAAGTCCATCCCTTCCTCCTTTCCATAGCTGATGATCGTCGGCTTTCAGAATAAAAAGTGGAATAAATAAGAAATGCTTGTAGGTAAGTGGGCTGGTCGTTAGGTTAATGCAAATAGATTCGAGAATAAAATTTTAGTGCTGCAGCTTGTTAAGATGCAAGCGTAAAAGAAATCAAGTTTTAAACGGCAGTTTTTAGAATGTTGCGAAACACATCCGTACACAATTCATGCCTACAATAATCGACAATGGATGGTGATTATGATGATGGTCGCATTAATTTAAACGATGATATATGTTGGACTGTAGTTAAATGATAATTTATTGTTCGTATGGATATGGAGATGAGCTATCAGGCATGGATAATAATTTTTCTACCTTACCCAACTCAATTTTGTTGTCTGCATGGATGGATCAATTACTCAATAGCCATTTGTTCATTAAAAATTTTGCACAAATTATTTTCGTTTAGCTTCTTCTCATACTCAATTTTTGTAATGTCCTATAAATCTCTCAGCACATAAAAATCACAGAAAAATATCATAGAACTGTAGCTGTTGTTGATTGATTTATGGATATCTAATTTACTCACTTACTTCATAAAAAATTGTTCTAATGAGTAATGGGGTCAAGAAAGCTTTTATTACTTCAAATATGAATATCTGAGTGGAAAAGAGCACATGCTGCTTCCTGTAGATTCTTATGAGTTGCTGATTTTCAATTTTATAGCTATTGGTTAATTTAGCTTTCTTGTTTGTGGTCCATAAGGTTGGCTGGGTGAAGTTAGATGAAGATGAAATTGGGGATTGTGTGATTGGGAACTGGAGCTTGTTACTAGAGCTTTTCTTGGTACCCAAAAGTTATAAATCGATGTGATGATCACTCAAAAGAATAAGTACAATTGAACTGTAGCAAAGAAGGGTCTTCCAGGTAGAAACCAGCTTAAGAATGTTCAGATTGACAAGCATAAATTCATTTATAGTGCTCCTGCGTTTCACTATTGTAGAATCTAACTCTTAAATTGAATAAATGTAGACCAAACCTCAGTTAAGACTACATTTAACAATATACACACCCCTAAGGTCATATATCTCAATAGCTGTACACAAAGGTTATCGCCAAAAATTACCCACAGCGTATTGACTAAGCTAAACATGTTCAAGCTTTTTACGAAAAACAAAAGCATGCTCCTGAACACTGTCCAAATGCGCCTTATCCACTCAAATTAATCCAAAGTTATTCACTAAGTCCATATACAACATTTCATGAACTTCCACACAGAAAATTTCTGTTATTTTCTCATAAATCCCATCGATCAATGAATTGATAGTTCAATTAGCATTTTGCACAATATCGACCAATAAACAACTGTGTGAGAGATTTAGAATCAGATTAAGCAGTTATGAAATTATCTCATTCTTTCATTGTTTCTCTCAGGCTGATTATCGAATATGAAATTACAATTCTTTTAGTTCTTAGTTCTGTAATTTTATTTCGGCAAGCAACATATGGCAGCGATAATGTTTGCTTTCTTGAATTCTTTAACTTAATTTAATAAACCTATTCTAGATGGAATATGAAATTGAGATATATTAATATAATTATAGGAACTACCTAACATATGTTTTATTTGATTATGAAGCTGTTCTTTGTGATTGTAAATGATTTACAGTTCTTGTGAGTTTATTGCTGGAACAAGTGCAATATTGAAGATTCTTGTGGAATTTTCTTAGTCACAGTTCAGAGTTTGTGTGGAAACGTAATAAATAAACGGCATCAAATCCCTCAGTGAAGCTCCAAGCTAGTAATTGAAAAACTTAAACGATCAGAAAACAAACAAAAACAACTGCCAAGAGCTGGAAAATGAATAAAAAGAAAGTTTTTCTTTCTCAGTTGCATAAATTAAAATTTATTTGAACATTATTTGATGGTGTGTAGATTATTTAAGTGCGGTCCATAGCTAACAACTTTTGATAAATTACTGAGTCTGTAAATGCTGCAATATTGTTATGATAAAAGAGCTTTTTTTGGCTGATGACGAAGAAAGAAAAGAGAAATTTTGTTGGCTTGAAATGAGATTTGATTTTTTGGTGTAGATGGTTGACTTGATGTGATGTTTATTGGACATGATGTGATGAATTTGATAATGAATTGTAATAAGCTGTTATTTATTGTGATGAATTGTTTAGACTAAATTGGATTTGGTTCTTTCTACACTAGATATCTGCCACGGACAACCTGGTAGGCAAAAGGCTCTATTTGGCAACTAATAATCAAACAATGAATTCTGAACTCATGGAATTCATACAAATTCCTTTGACATCCTTATGTCGCATGGTTTACTGAAATCTATTCCAAAATGTGAGCCCTTTGTAAGCGACGGAGTCAAAAAAGTTCTCAAAAATGTACATAACCCGAATAGCACAAGTCGGGTTAATCGATCAGAAATCTGGCATCAAACCAAGGTAAGTCTGGCATGTCGCTTGATTTAAAATGAATCCAGCATCATGTCAGATTCATGCCGGATTTCTATTTTATTAACCGACTTGTGCTTTCCGGGTAAGTTATAACTTCCTTCTTAATGAATGTTAAAATTCTTTTTGAACTTCTTTGAACAATTGCATTCAAGTTCAACCTCTTTGAAGTCAAATAATCTCCATAACATAAAGACTACCCGGGTAACAATTATTGAACTCTAAATTACGTTAACTTGACACAAAAA